TATCAACTGTGAAAACTGTTAACTGAGTTTAATTTAAAAGTTATGTAATAATAGAAAAGTTCTCTATATACCTAATAAAGAATACCCCATGAACCTTTCAAGTTGTTTGAAAGGTAAAACAAAACTTTTTCACGTTAAAAAAACACACGCAAGGATCTCACAGATTTTTTCCAAATTTTCTTAAAAACCGAACACCAGGAGGCCCTAAGATATGATTTTTCAGGTTCTTTCCAAAATATTAAAATACCAGGAGTTCCAAAGATTCTTTCTCATTCTGAAAACAAAACACAAAGATCACTGATTCTTTCAAAAAAACACTAGGGGATTTCAAAATTCTTTCAAACATTTGCAAAAACAAAACACGCGAAGCTCACAAGATTTCTTCACATTATAAAAAAAAATCTGGGGACACCCTAAATTCTTTTAAGTTCTTTCTAAAATAAAATACCACGAGTCCATAAGATTGTTTCAGGTATTCTCCAAAATAAAACACCAAGGACCCCAAAGATTGGTCACATTCTTATAAAACACCACGAACGTTCGAGATTTTTTCAAATATTTTCTAAGATAAAATACTAGAAAAAATACCACAGATACCCAAAATTCTCAGGTTCTTTCTAAAATAAAACACCAGAGACCTGAAAGATTTCTTTAAAGATTTTCAAAACAAAATACTAAGAGCTTCAAAAATTTCTTCACATTCTTAAAACACACCAGAGGCACTAAATATTCTTTCACGTTCTTTTTAAAATAGAATACAGGGAACACCAAAGATTCTTCAGGTTCTTAAAAAAGCACCACGGACATCCAAAAGATTCTTTATTATTCTTGAAAAAACAAAAAGAATCCTCTCGATTTTTCCAAATTCTATCAAAAACAAAACACCAGGAGCCCCAAGATTCTTTCACATTCTAAAAAAAAACACACCATGGATACACAAGATTGTTTCAGATTCTTTCTAGAATAAAACACCATGAACCCCAAGGTTGTTCCAAATGCTTCCGAAAATAAGTCTCCAAGATTCTTTATTATTCGTAAAAAAAACACCAAGGATCCCCGAGAGTATTTCAAATTCTTTCAAAAACAGAACATCAGAAGTTCCCAGGATTCTTTCTTTCCCAATCAAAAAAAAAATAGCACGGATACCAAAGATTCCTTCAGGTTTTTTCTAAAATAAAACACCAAAGATCTAAAACATTCTTTCAAACATTAAAAAAAAACGCCAGGATTTTCCAAGATTTCTTCAGATTCTTAAAAAAAGGACCAGATGCATTAAATATTGTTTCACATTCTTGTTGGAATAAAATACAGGAACACCCAAGAGTCTTTCAGATTCTTAAAAAAAAACACTGCGGATACCCAAGATTCTTTAAAGTTCTCTTTAAAATAAAATACCAGGAGTCCCCAAGATGCCTTTCCAATTAAAAAAGATACCACGGGTACCCAAGATTAGTTCAGGTTTTTTCTAAAAGAGACCTAAAACATTCTTCCAAACATTAAAAAAAAAAAACACCAGGAGTTTCCAAGATGTCTTCACATTCTGAAAAAAGACGCCTGAGACCTGAAAGATTTCTTCAAAGATTTTCAAAATAAAATACCAGGAGCTCCGAAGGTTTCTTTACATTCTTAAAAAAACACCAGAGGCACTAAAGATTCTGTCACGTTCTTTTCAAAATAGAACACCAGGAAGGCAAAAGATTCTTCAGGTTCTTAAAAAAACACCAAATTGGTTCAGATTCGTTTTAAAATAAAATACCAGGAGTCCTCAAAAATTTGTACTGTTCTTGAAAAAGTATAACGAATCCTCCAGATTTTTCCAAGTTCTTTCAAAAATAAAACACCAGGAACTCCAAGATTTTTTGACATACTAAAAAAAAGCACCACGGATCAGATTCTTTCAGATTCTTTCTAAAATAAAACACCACGAACGGCCAAGATTCTTCCAAGTACTTTCGAAAATAAAATTCTAGGAGTTCCCAAGATCTTTATTGTTCTTTAAAAAAAAACACAAAGAATTCCGAGAGTTTTCCAAATTCTTTCAAAAACAGAACACCATCTCTGGAGCCCCCAAGATTCTTTCTCAATAAAAAAAAGTATATCACGGATACCCAAGATTCCTTCAGGTTTTTTCTAAAATAAACACCAGGAGTTTACAAGATTTTTTCACATTCCTAAAAAACGCCAGAGGCACTAAAGATTTTTTCACGTTATTTTTAAAATAGAACACCAGGAACGTCAAAGATTCTTCAGGTTCTTAAAAGAAGCACCATGGACATCCAAGATCCTTTCAGGTTCTTTTTAAAATAAAATACCAAAAGTCCTCAAGATTCTTTATTATTCTTGAAAAAACACAAAGGATCTTCGAGATTTTTCCAAATTCTTTCAAAAACAAAACACCAGAACCCCAAGATTCTTCCAAGTACTTCCGAAAATAAAATTCTAGGAGTCCCCAAGATTCTCTATTATTTTTAAGAAAAAAAAAAACACAAAGGGTCCCCGAGAATTTTTTAAATTCTGTCAAAAACAAGACACCAGAAATTATAATTATAAATAAAATTCTGTTCCAATAAAAAAAAGGATACCACGGATTCCCAAGATTCCCTCAGGTTTTTTCTAAAATAAAACACTAGGAGTTTTGAAGATTTTTTCATGTTCTTAAAAAAAACCCAGAGGTTTTTAAGGTTCTTTTATGTTCTTTCTAAAGTAGAACATCACGGACACTCACGATTCGTCAGGTTCTCTTTAAAATAAAACACCAGACAGCTGAAAAACTTTTAGCTTCATCATTTAGAACATCAAGGACACCCAAGATTTTACAGATTCTTTCTAAAATAAAATACTAGGAACTCTCGAAATTCTTTCGTATTCTTAAAGAATACACGAACGATTCCAGAAAACCCTAAAGATTTCAATTTTTTTATATTTTCAAAAACAAAACACCAGGAACTCCCAAGATTTCTTCACATTCTTAAAAAAAATACCAGTAGGGACGCTCAACATTCTTTGACCTTTCTTTTTTAGTAAAACACCAGGAACCCCATGATTCTTGAAAAACACCTAAGATTCTTTCAAATTCTTTCTAAAATAAAATACCAGAAGTCTCCAAGATTCTTTATTATTCTTAAAAAACACAAAGGATCCCCGAGATGTTTTCAAATACTTTCAAAAATAAAACACCATAGATATCCAAGATGATTTCAGGTTCTTTCTAAAATAAAACACCAGGGACCTCCAAGATTCATTCAAACATTTTCAAAAAAAAACACCAGGCATTTCCAAGATTTCTTCACATTCTTAAAAAAAAAAACACCAGAGGCATTCAAGATTATTTCAGGTTCTCTTTGAAAAAAAAAATACCAGGAGTTCCCGAAATTCTTTCGTATTCTTAAAAAAAAACAAGAACGATTCCAGAAATTTTTTTAAATTAATTAACAAACAAAACACTAGGAGATTTCAAATTTTGTAAATAATGTCAAAAACGAAACACCAAGAGTTCCCAAGATTTCTTCAGATTCTTAAAAAAAAAGAACCACTAGGGACGCTCAACATTCTTTCACGTTTTTTCTTTTTAATAAAACACCAGAAGCCCCCACTGTTCTTAAAAAACACCAAGGACACCTAAGATTCTTTCAAATTCTTTCTAGAATAAAATACCAGAAGTCTCCAAGATTCTTTATTATCCTTAAAAAACACAAAGAGTTCTTGAGATGCAGATCCCCGAGATGTCTTCAAATTCTTTGAAAAACAAAACACCACGAATATCCAAGATGCTTTCAGTTTCTTTCTAAAATAAAACACCCGGGACATTCAAGATTCTTTTCCAAGATTCTTTCAAACATTTTCAAAAACAAAACACCGGGAGCTCCAAAATTTCTTCACATTTGTTAAAAAACACCAGAAGCCCCCAAGGTTTTTTCACGTTCTTAAAAAAAACACCACGGAAAATAAAACTCCAGTACCCTGTAAGACTTATTCACATTCTTAAAAATTGATATAAAAGGTTTTTTGAGGTTATTTCTAAAACAAAATACCGGGGATTCCAAGAGTTTATTTTATTTAGACAGAATTTCTCCCACCCCTGAAGCACACACAACTTTTACTTTTTCTATTATAACTCCAATCCAAATTAAAATAGGGGTGGATTTATTAATCCATTTATGAATTATAGTCAAAAGAACGTGCTACACGTCATGTTTAATGTGATGTTTTCTAAATAAAGTAGTTTGATGACGTAATCAAACTTTTAGAGGGGATATGTACATTGCTTTTAATACATACATTGAAACCAATTAATAAAATAAACGGTCATGAAATTTTTGGAATGAACACTTGAATTCTGTTTAATAAAGTTATTTCATCAATATCCCGGAAACCAAACATTAAAATTAAGGCAACGCAGCCATAACAAACATGATGTTTTTATTATAGAAATGCAGCGTTTGTTACATACAAAAATATTAAATTCGTTTGATGACTACACGTTAGAGAAAAAAAATTAAAAAAAAACGTAAACAATTTTGGTTTTAAAAACTTATGACCCAAAAGACTTTTTCGTTAATTGTAGTAATTTGGGTAAACTTGTCCCAGACGCCCTATTAATAAACATAACATGTATTAAAATCTGCACAGTTCAAATCAAGGTTGGCTAAAACCGGAGAAGTTATTATTACCACTATGAAAAGCTCCCACACAGCATTAACCCCAAAACACAAAGTAAGAGTAGGTCATGTTTGTTTCTCATAATACATAATTTCCCGTCAGAGCTTTCACCGTTGACCATAAGTCCCACCAGCAGCACTTATGCTAAAGTCCGTAAGTTTCCGGGCGCACGTCCCAGCCCGTCTCGCCCCTTTCCGGGCCGGACTCCGGGCGAGAGTAACTGCTACAGGTTCAACGTTGAGTTGCAAATTTCCCAAATCGACTGTCGACGGAACCGCACGAATCTGCTCGCGAACGTAAAAGCTCACACGCTGGAGATTTAAGCTCAGTCTCATCTGGGATACTGCCTAGCAACTGGGACTTGTTACCCTCCGATTGCTGGGCCAGAAAGCACGCGATCCGGCGTGGTCTAGGACACGTTTTCAATTTTTTTGTTTTGTGGTGGCACTGATCGATCTCTTGCGGACGGGGCCGATGCTGCAGATTTGAGAAGTGGAAGGCCGATGCTACTGACACTGCTTTGTTGAGAGGGTGAGTGATTTGTTGATGTTCGGGCTGTTTCTGCTATTAATGTGCTTGATTTATTTTGGGCTGTTTATGGCCGCTCGAGGGAGAGGAATTTACAATGATAGGGTTGGAATTGGTGAAGTTTGCTTGCTGGAGAAGAGGGTTGTTTATGTTTTGCTGGGTTTTTGTGGTTAGGTTAAGGGGGTAAATGTTAGTGTTGTTAGTGCTGCTTAAAGTAACACAATGTTTACAAAACTTAAACGTACGGAATTACACACCTTTTAAACAAATTTAATAATTTTGTGAAACACGAATTTTTTCTACAAATGTCTCGAACGCCTGAATTTTATTGATGTCTTCAGTATTAAATCACGTTTGCTTTGATGTTGTCCATTTAGTCACTTGTACAACGCATAATTATTAACTCACATTTATATTGAAGGTCAAATTAGTTAGGAAGTAATCAAAAGCCTACTAAATAATAAGGGTTGGTCTCCTCTGAAATTGGAGGGTTTTGGGAGTTTGCTTAATTGAATTAACAAATTTATTAGGTGACCTTTTGTAAACAAATAACTAAAGGAAGTCGGGTCAAGTACCTCGGCCCCTCATTATAACTACCGAAACATGTCTTGTATGATATCATAAGTTTGACATTACCGGAAATATATAAACTAGAAAAATTTCGTGAAAGCACAAGGAATATAAACCATATATTATTATTGTAATTGTTTTTGTCTATTACGCAAATCGTCGGCATTCAGCCAAGACTAGTATTTGTATCTTACGTGGCACACTTTTCAAATATATCTACTCTCGATTAGACTGTGGAAAATAATGGGACTCAGAAACGAGCTTTTCACTTTAATATCATAAATAATAACCCCCTTAACATCCCAGAAATGTATCCTTCAACTAGAATACTGCCTGATTCACAGAACAATTAAATACCAATTAAAGTTTTAAGACAACAGCAAGCTCTAATTGTGCTTTTTTTTAGATGGCACTATAACAAAGGTCAAATGAGTTAGGAAGTGATAAGCCTACTATAATAAAGTTTCGTCTATGAAACTGGAGGGTTGTAGGAGTTTGCTTAATTCAATTAATAAATTTATTGGGTGACCCTTTGTGAACAAATAACTAAAGGAAACCGGATAATGTACTTCAAATTTTCATTATAATCATTATAATAAGTTATGATTATTAACAATAATATCTTTTGTGATATTTCATTAATGTAACAAATGAAGTTACGAAAGTTTCTTTAAGGGAATTTCAGCAGCCATTCTGTAAGTAATATTTTCCTTAAGGTTCTAAATATCGTGATTGTACTTTCTGAAATATGTATTTAAAGTTGAAAGCAAGACAACCACAAGGAGGCAAATATATATGTTAACATTACTTCTACGTTTACTAAAATTAAACAAAACATCGTAAAAAAACTCAAATTTTAATTTTTACTCCCCAGATAATCTTCAAAACTACTGGACTACTTGTTGTAGATGTATTTTAGAAGAATCGCTTTGATAAAAAAAAATCAAAATCAGTTTACAATTAATTTACAAACATAAACATGGTAAAACGCTACCAAATTTTTTTTTATTGAAAATTACTACATAAATCCTGTCTAAATGTGCAAAATAGTAAACTTCTTGCACATAGTTTATTAGTGAATGTTTTTAAAACATTAATTAATTTTTTTGGTTATAAAAATGGCATTTCAGTTTTTCTGAAAAATGACGTCTTCACAAAATTTTATTAAAGACAACCCTTACAAGGCAAAACAAATTTCGACGAGGATCAGATTCGAACCCACCAGGGGATGCTCAAATTCAAGCCTTAACCACTGAATCACAAGTAATTATATATTACTTATTTTATAAATTTTAAATGGTATTCGCAAAATGTTGAGGAGACGTCATCAAATTGTTGGTGGGGTAACATACATTTAAAATTTGACAATAATCGGTCCGGTAGTTTCGGAGAATTAAAAATCGACACTGATAAGTGATAACAGACAGACGGAAACCGGAGACGTATTTTTTTGTACTCTAGTGGACAACGTGGAGAAAACATGAAAGTAGCTGTTTGGATGGGCCTTACTCCTTAGCGTGTGTTTAACAATCCGCGCCTATTTTATTTTTACGGGTTATGAATGTTATCATAAAAAAATTAAATTCGAATAATCTTTTTTTATAGATTGTGGAAGATTGTTGGGGGTTGGCTTGGTTTTATTAAAAAAAAAGAAAGAAAAATCGGAGAAACTTTCTGTTTTGTTTTTGAAAGCGTCTGAAAGAATGTTATAATATTGTCTTTTTTACAAATTTTTTAGAACAGTCTCTTGTGAAATATTTTTCAAATTTCGAAGGCCTCTAATGTTTAGTTTTTGAAAGAATTTGAAAGAACATTGGGGGTGCCTAGTGTCTTTTTTTTATTATGATGGAATTTTTAGGGCCCCTTGTGTTTTATTTTTGGAAGAAGTACAGTAGACGCCGCTTAATATGATCACGGTTAATGTTATCAATCGCTTAGTGTGATCAAAATGGCTTGGAACGGACCCACGCAATACCTATGCATTACAGTTTTTCCGTTTATTGTGATCAATATTTCGCTTATTGTGATCAATCTCGCAATTCTTATACAAACGGGAATTAATTTTTTGGAGAAGCGAGACGACTAAAACTAGTATTGTGTTTTAATGAACATTCATTGCTCTCAAAAGGTACATTCGCTTATACCACTTATTTTATACAACCACAATCAGTGGTCAAAAACAGACTTAAGTAATCAGTGTGTTTTCGACTTTTGGACGAACGAATTCTTTCTGTTTTAAATTTGAGTATTTATGTAAAAATTAGCAGGTCGAAACGACGAAATCTTAGTTTATCAGAGAAAAAAAAATTCCCAGCCCTTACTTAAGAAATTTCTACAACAAGCAAAGGAAATCAATGGTTCCTTTCTCAGAATGGTAACCAAAATTTAAAATAAATTCTAATATTTATGTACCTTCATCTATCAGCATAATAAACACTGTCTTGTTCATGATTTTGTTTTGTTTCGAGTTTTACTGTCTTTGATGGTGGACTTCGCTTATTATTATCAGTCGGTTAGTGTGATCAATTTGTCTGAGTCCCAAAGTGATCACATTAAGCGGCGTCCACTGTATTTGAAAAACGCTGAAGAGACAGCGTTGTTGTTTTTCGACGTTTCATAACTCCTAGAGTATGAAACAACAGGCTCCCCTGTACCGATTTGTATTAGAGAGATAATCTCCAAAACTACCGCACCGATTACTATCAAAATTAATCGCCCTATAGTGGGGAGGACTGTGGGATTGAATGCGATTAATTTTTAAACAATTTTATGAAATTACAAATATTCGCATACTAAAATTTAACACATATTTCAACTAGTACAAGAAGTAGCAAGGCCCTTAACTAGGTACTAGTGTTTTATAAAAATCTGTTGCACAATTTCTGCGATACGTAAAGTCTGAATTTTAAAAATTTTTTTAGGAAATATTCGATAGTTTCAAAGATTACCTGTTTTGTAAAGTCGCTGGTACATATATTGCAAGCAAGTAGAAACGACAAACCTGCATTTTTGTCTTCTATGAAAGGACCATTAATCGAAGAGGACTGTTATGAACTTACCCTTAACTATAATACTTATAGAAGTAAAACTGGCTGATTTTTGAAAATACATTTTTTTTAAACGAGTGTAGCAATGTGGGTGAAGAAAAAAGATGAGAGAAGGGAGAAAAGGAAAAGACAAAAGGAGCGAAATGATATGGTACGATGTCCACATAAAAAATATAAAAACGACCGAAAAAGGTGACAAAAATGATTACAAAAAAGGTGACAAAAAGGGCCGACATAAAAGAGTGACAAAGAAAAGGATAAATAAAAAAATAATTAAAAAAGAAACAAAACAGGTGGCATAAAACCATAAAAGCAAGTTGACATAAAAAGTCGGTGAAAAAGTGGCCTAAAAAATGTGGAAAAAAGGCAGAAAAATAAAAGCAAAAAACGGCAAAAAAGACAAGCAAATGCAAAAGTGGCAAAAATCGACTAAAAAAAAAGATGAGAAAAAATAAAAAGGGACAAAAAGGCGTTAAAAAAGGACAGAGAGGTGACGAAAACAATGAAAAAAAAAAGGAATAAACTAATAAAAAAAAAACTATGAAAAAGGCATCACAATAAAAAGACCAAAAAAGTGACCAAAATGCTTACAAAAAAGGCCGCAAAAAAGGAGCTACACAAAAAGGTTACAAAAAAAGGCATAAAAGAACAATTAAAAAAAAAAACGAAAAAAGTGACAAAAGAACAACAAATTAAGCGACAAAGAAGGTGACAAAAATCGAAAATAGATGAAAAAAATTGAAAGGGATAAAAGAAAAAGACAAGAAAACAGCGAAAACATGGTGACAAAAAGTGGAAAAAAAGTTGTATTATTAAAAGTGACGAAAAATGACAAAGAAGCGACCCAAAAAAGGATTAAAAAAATGGAACAATAAAACGACAGAAAAAAGTGCCATAAAAAGGGAAAAAAACACAAAAAAGGCGAAAAACTAGTAGCTAACATAAGGTGATAGAAAAAACAAAAAAAAAGGATTGATAAAATTGGTCGAAACTTGTTTCGACAGAACTTCTGCATTTTCGAATTGAGTTTTTTCTTTACACAATTTTGTGATGAGGTCATCAACATTTTTGCAAGAACAAAATTACAGTATTGTATTCCCAAAATTTTCTGGGAAAATGGAGTGAGCCGTTCCCGATTTAATCAATAAAATAAATTGACTGATTCATTAATTTTTTTTGAGTGACCCTGTATAAGCAAATGTAAAAAATGGGGTTCTTAATTTGATCAATAAAAAATTGGGCGAAGACTAAAATATGTAAAATTTGATTTTACGACTTTCGTTTTGTGATAACCGCTGTAAAGTACAAACCAGAGGCATAAATAACACCCCTTGTTCTTCAACGCTAGGTAATAGCAATCTGAAGTTCAACTGTTTATTTATGTTT